TATATATATATATATATATATATATATATATACATACATATATATATTATATTTCATAACAATATGCACAACAATTTTAAGTATAACTCTTACAATGGCTGATATTCAATGGAAGAGACAACTTTGGAGGCCTAGGCATAAATGGAGGATAGAAAAATAGAGTGTGAAAGGTCAGACTGGACTGAAGTGGCTTGGGATAAATCAAACAGCAAGTTTCTTAAAAACACAGTAATGAAGTTTTAGGATTCAACAAAATCAGGATATGATTCAACTTCTTGAGTGACTATAACTATTCACGAAAGATCTGTTTCATGGAGTTAGTGAATGGATATAAAACATTGCTGCTGTAAGAACTTAACATTGATTTCCTTCCAATACAAAAGTAAAGCTTTTAAGAAGGATGTAAAGAAATTACATTCTCCTCACAATAATCTCATTAAGGAGGAAACCTTAAAGACTCCAACATCTGAAAACTTATATCCTTTGTAAGGTTTCTTTTTCTACCGTAGTTTAAACTCAAAAATTCAGTTCAACATGTAAATAACAGATGTTTATTATAAACACAAATGAAATTTGCAACATGAAATCTGAGGTTTCCTTTATGGCAGATCAAGTGCATTAGCAAAGAGTAAGGATGTCATGTTATATGACAGCCTCCAAAATTTTGGATTCTTGGTTTGTATTGACAAAATATACAACCCAACATACTTTATTGCACTGTTGTAACGGTAATAAGTAATGTTAGCTCATCAGTACCTTGACTTACTGGTATCCTTGGAGCATTTGTTTTGAATCTCAACTGCAGAACTGACATTCTGATAGGATGTTTGTGATTTTATTTATGTTGATTTCTCATCTATCTTCAAGATTTAGATGAGATATGACAGATGGATGGACATATATGACCTTTATTCCAAACACTATACACAAATTACTGCTCCAAATGGAGTAGCCTGAATATCAATTCATATACAGATTCAAGAAATTCATCTCACTTCATAATTTTAAACTAATTAAACCAGGGTTCATACACTTTCTTCATTAACTGGTCAAGAAAATTACACTGTGAGTTCCAAAGTTCGACTGTTGTGTCTATAAATGCCCACAATTTAACCATACAATTCATTCCAGTTCACACCTTCACAACCCATATCTTTAATTTTGAGACATCATTATGCTTGAGGCTCAAAAATGGTCTCTACCATTGAAACTTTCAATCAAAATTATGTATATATTTCTTATTTCCTTGCATACATTCTATATGTATACAGGTAGGACGTGGTTTACGCTGGGGTTAGGTTCCTGAGATTTGCAGTGTAAAATGAAACGGCATAAATTGAAGCAAAAAATATAATGGGAACATGTAAATACATTAGGTTCCATTCCAAGATTTTCAGTAATCAACACAAAATACTTTAAGAATGTTTTATTTTATGAAATTTATGTATTGACAATTATATAATATTTAAGATAATAATGTTTAAGAAAAATAAAGAAAATTTACTGCTTTAAAAATGATAGAATAGATGTCTGTTTGGTTTTCTTCTTTTCTGATAATAAGTTATAGTATGGCTGTTTAACTGTATCAATTCCTCTCTTAACGGTTGAGCTCCGCTCCCAGTTGGGGTCATTGTTATAGAAGATCTCATATCTCTTGTTAATAAGAGCAATAGCCTCTTGCATTGACCTTTTGGCGTACTGTTCTCTAGACACCAGTGCATGTTTGTCAGTTCATTTGCAGTTCTTAGTCTGTGGTTAATGTAATTTCTCATCATATTTTATATTTCGTTTTTTGTTTAATTATTCAATTTTAGGCCATAGTTTATCATTTAGTATTATAGTTTTATTACAATGTCGGGACCATATGTGTCTAGTAAGTCGGGCAGTCATGACTCATCACCCCCTCCAATCGTGCTCTATGAGAGGCGCAAAAGTGAAGCGGCGTAAACCGAGTCCTACCTTTACTCAATTTCATCTTTTAAGAATAAATCATTGTAACAATATCAGATGAACAGTGTACCAGGTGTTGTATAAAATCATTTCCACACAATTACATAAATAAACTCAACTAAAATTTCAAATTATATGAACAATATAAATTGTGCAGTTCCTCATTACAATAATTTTCTCATTCTTTTGTTACTTTATCTCTCACAGGTCCAAATATGTTCCCATTTTTGAAGTACTGGTACTCATGTTTCAAATAACACATAAATCACAAGTTAGAGCATGTTCTTTCTAAAAATAAAAGTAGCTTAGAAATAGGTCACATGTTCTAAGGAAGTAGTTTTAGTTGTGGGGAGAGTTATCCAATTACTTCAGTTGCCTACACGTGGCCAATACACAGATGCACCTCTAATAATAAATGACACATTCAACATTCATTCCTTTATTAACTTATACCTGTCTTCACATCACAAAAACACTGGAAAGGAGGGAGTCTTGTGAAGAGGGGCGGAGCTAAGTCTTATATAAGCAGTGGGTCTATACCACAGACACTGAGCAACATCAAAAAGACATTGTCATCTATTGTGGTGGGACTCAACTTTTATCTGGATTAGAAATTTAAGTAGTGTGGTTTGTGGTTTTTCAGATTCTTTTATATATTAGCCAAGGTAAGAGTTTTACAGAGTAATAAGGTATTAAAAGAGTATATAATTTCTGTCATAGTTTTGAAAGTAGTGTTTTCTTGTGGAGGCTTCACAACTACCTGGCATTTGCTACTATTCTAAAAAGTGGATACTTAGTTTTCTTTATGAATGGACATACAAAATTGAATAATGAAATACATCATCATTTGTAATATTCACCTGATACTGTAATAGTAATAAAATCAACAATGATGAGGTATCTATCTAGCAACTAAATATTCATTAAAAATTATTGGAAAATTAAATCCTTCTCTTTGTTTTAGCACCCAGTATTCTGCACCATAATATGCTTTCAAATGCTCCAGTGTGTCTCTTTAATGTTACATAACTTATGTTGCAGTCAGCTCCATGTCTCTGACTTATGAACCAAGCTTCAGTGCCTATTCACGGGCTAGCCAAGGAGGTTTTGGCAACATAACAGTAGTGGACAAAGTATTACCAGAGATGCTGCATCTTGTTGATCCTCACTGGTAATGTCACATTAGTTGAAATGTTAAAATGATAAGTTGAAAACTATAAATAATATGCCACATTAAAACACTAGCTCCCAACTAGTATTTGGTGTTTCACAAAATGTTTCAGGACTTTGCCAAGAAAAAAAGGGCAATGGCAGATATTTTGGGAGTAATCATTATTTTCAGACAAATTCACACACACTAAAAGTGGTGCTAACCTGTTTATTTTTAATTTGAAACACAGGTCTTCTATTCTGACTGTATAAGAAATATGTTAAGGGTTAAAGTTCAAGCCCCAACGCTTTTAACCAAGCCTTTGTATAGTTAAAAACAGCTTTATTCTTTATCCAAATTTATACAAGTCCTGCCGGTCTTATAGGTACCAGTTCCCGCCCTTGAACCCATTGTGGCATGGAATACTTGGTTTAGTGATTGGAGTGCTGGGTGTAGTCTCTGTTACTGGCAATGGAATGGTCATATATATCTTCTCATCCACAAAGTCACTCAGAACACCATCCAACCTTCTAGTGGTGAACCTTGCATTCTCCGACTTCCTTATGATGCTCTGCATGTCACCAGCTATGGTTATCAACTGCTTCTATGAGACCTGGGTACTGGGTGAGTAGTCCATTTCACTGCTCATATAGACTGGAATAGTTATGCTACTCAGGTGTTACAATGGAAATCCTGTTTCAGGCCCCTTGATGTGCGAGCTCTATGGAATGTGTGGCTCTCTCTTTGGATGTGTCTCCATATGGACAATGACCCTAATCGCTTTGGACAGGTACAACGTAATTGTTAAGGTAAAAACTAATGCATACCAATAAGGGTAACTTCTAAGGTACTTAAGAAATTATACTGGCTTGCTTGTGTTGGCCTGCCTCACTTAAAACTCAGGCATCAGTGTTATAGAGATTACTGTCCGATAATCGTCAAACTTGGTGTTAACAGCATGCCACAGGAGCACTACAGATCTTGGACTTTTAACTTCCTGTCAACTATACCAGCTGACTACTTTGCAAATTTCTGAGTAAAAATCAATAATATAGCCATTCAGAGTAGGTTTGAAAATTCTGTGTTATGTTGCAACATATGGCTTTAGATAAATCACAGAATGCTTTGACTATAGTAACATAGTATTTCATGGCAGCCTTAGTAATGTTATATAGGCTACTGTGTTTTCAAAGCATGTTATTCAAAATAAACTTGAACACAAAATTATGTAACTGCAAACAATGGAACCTATTTTATGTCATCAAGTAGCTCATACAAACATATTTTTTAATAATGTTGTGATTTGAAGTGTTTTGTGACTGTAATACAATCCTCATGATCCGAATTGCTTGAATTTATGAAAGTCGTGTCTGCATTCCTAAAAGTAATTAGTCTTATGTCTACAGTATTCAGGCATGCAACTGTAGTAGCATAAGGCCTGATAAATTCAGTCTCTTTTGTTGATCTCCAAGGAATAGTGATGTCCAGTAACTTGTCTCCAGTTTCATTGTTGAGACACAGATCAAAAGTTTGTGTGTTATGAAATGCTGATTATTCATATTTTCTTTCAGGCAGATATATAAAGGACTTTTGTTTGAAACTTAATACCAAGCGTAACTAAATGCAGACTGACTGTAGAGAGGATTTATATGTTCATCTTTTACTGATTACACTGTACTGTGTTAGATTCCCAGCAGAGAAACAGATTTTTCACTTCACCGCCATATCCAAAATCGATGTGAGTCCCACCCAGTCTTCTATCCAGTGGGTATTGGGATCTCTATTGCCAGGAATAATGTAGCCAAGTGTAAAAATGACTATTCACCTCCTTATAAAACAAAGGTTGAGAAAGCAAATTACTTTACATCCACTCCCTTATGTCTTCATGATGTGCTCAGCCACAGAGAAAACTTTTTAACTTTACCTTCCAGACTGTATAGTAGTAGTAGTCTTGTCTGCTGACAAATCAAGACACAGAAATCTCCATCTTCTGGATATACTAACTGACAGCACATCTAGTCCTTATATTTACAATACTTTAACATGGGACTACCAGAAACTGGTAGATGCAGGAGTACATGCAGACTTTCAATTAAAGACATCTCACATTTACAAACAAAATTCTTCTCAAGATATCTTTTCATCCTGAAGGAAAATGTGCTTGGATTATAGTTTGAGTTCATAAATCATTATAAAATAATGAGACCAGTGAGTGAGATAACTCAGATCTTTCCCTTTATACCGCCCAAGGTAAAAAATATTCCTATATGCATCCTCCCCCAGACGTGAAGCTCAGGTAAATATTAACTTTGAAGCACGATAATTAAAAAACTGAATGCTCAGAAAGTTAGTGTTAAATCTTGTTACCAAGTTAAAGTGCTCCAATGCGTGATCATTTGACAAAACCAAAGAGCCATATTATAGTAACTGTAAATCCAAATGGAGCACCAGAACTACATTTGTTTCATATTTCAGGGGTTATCAGCCAAACCCATGACAAACAAAGGAGCCATACTCAAAATCCTCGCAGTGTGGGTCTTTTCTATCATATGGACTATCTTCCCAATGTTTGGCTGGAACAGGTGACAAGAATGAAGTTTCACTTCTAACAGTTCAGCACTGCTAATAATAAATACTACCACTGGACACAATCTGCAGTCAGATCAAACCAGTTCACATCCTCAAAACAAATTTTCTAACATCTGTCTTCCAAGTAGCTTCTTTTCATGATGCTTCACCACCAAAACTGTGTATGGATTCACTTCCTCACTGTCCAGCCTACATTAACATATTTTGTTTCAATGTTTTGTAATGTTACTCATTACACATAGTGGTAAAAGTACACAATATTACAGATGGAATGAATGAATTTTATATATATATATTTATATGAACTACAAAGTACATTCAGAAAGGTTAAACGATGAACAAAAACAACTTAAGGGAATTAAAAGAAGAAATGAAAGTTGACTTCTGAAAAAACTGTAGATATCTGTGGTCAGAACTGGAAAAGTGGCCTGTTTCACATATTTGATAATAATTCACTAAATTAATATAATTAATTTCCTTTCCGTTATATTACAAGAATTCTTAGGCATCAATAGTTTCCTCATAAAACACAATGTTAAATATGAGTAACTTAACAAAACAGTAAATAACATAAAACGTTTTCCAGGTATGTGCCTGAAGGCAATATGACCGCCTGTGGCACTGACTACTTGAACAAGGATTGGGTGAGCCGAAGCTACATCCTTATTTATTCTGTGTGGGTGTACTTCACTCCTCTACTGACCATTATTTACTCCTACTGGTTCATTGTGCAGGTAAGAAGATCTCAGATAAGATTTATATCTTGATTCAGTTAGGTGTTTAAATAAATACTCTATTACTGTAAATAAGTTACATCCAACTACTTCTTGATTCAATGACTCAGTTCTTCCCAAACGTTGTTGTTCTAAGAGCCCAGTTCATTAAAAATTTGAATGCACAAACCTTAGTTTAAAACTACATTGTTTCTTAAAATATCTCCATTGTGCATCACCTGAACTCTAGTCAGCTACCTACCTGATCTAGGTCATTACCACACACCTCAAGCTTTATATGGCAATTCACAAATTGTCTCCCCTTGCAAAGGAAAGAAACCTAGGGTAACCATAATTATCAATTATGCAACTGGCACAGGCTACAAAATTCATTTTTACAGGACAAAGGAAGGAAGACAGCAGAAACCCCTATATTTATGTATTTTCATAATTCTCTTTAAAACAGTGCAAGTATATTTATCAGCACCTGAGCTTTTTTGTCACCTAATGCAGGCTGTAGCAGCCCATGAGAAACAAATGAAGGAGCAGGCAAAGAAGATGAATGTGGCTTCCCTGAGGTCAGCTGACCAGTCCAACACCAGTGCGGAGTGTAAGTTGGCCAAGGTAAGAAAATATATCAAGCCGGTAACTTTGGTAGATGTTTATTGAAGGAATCAAAGTTGACACTTGAATATACAGTTATCTGGTTAGAAAAATGCTGCCAACACTTGTTCACAGGTTGCTTTGATGACTATTTCACTGTGGTTCTTTGCTTGGACACCATACCTCGTTACAAACTTTACCGGTATCTTCGAAGGTGGTAGCATCAGCCCTCTGGCCACTATCTGGTGCTCTCTGTTTGCCAAAGCTAATGCAGTCTACAATCCCATTGTCTATGGAATCAGGTAATATAATCAAATATCCTCAAACTGAGGACTACAAGGGCTGTGTTTAAAATGGTTTTTGGCTTCCTTTACTTCAGATTATGTGGAAAAGAACAGAGTGCTTTCCTTGACATATTCTACTTAAAAGAGACTCACAGAAGTACAAGGACATATATTCAGTAATTTAGTTCTCCTGCAAGTGTTTACATTAAAATTTAAACAGAGTCCCAATCATCTGACCTTCGGTTATCTGACATTCCATTTTATCAGACATGCTGTAAGTTATTACTTATGCTATACAACAAAGAGAGGTGACCACTACACATACTACTGTTCAGGCCCTGGCATTACCTTGCCACAGAGAAAAGAAAGGAGGTTCAGAATTAAATACCCATTACTAATTTTTTCAAAAAAACAAACTCTTAAATTTACAGATTTATAAAATATTAAATATTATTTGTGAGATTTTTCAGTTGATGGTGTATTGTATTTTATTCATAATTTAATAATATCATAAACTGAGTTGATGTTTACCCTAATAATTTTCATTGGTGTTCTGTATTATCCAACCATCCTTCAGTTCCATTTAGGTCAGATAATTAGGATTCTAATATAGAACCATAAATTATGAAATCCAATGTCAATTAAAGACCTGGGCTAGGTCAGTCAGTACAGTGACTGACTACAGACTGGACAACTGGGTTCAATCACTGACAGGGGCAGAGAACTTTTCCTATAGCCTCTGAATTCAGACTGGCTCTGAGGCCCACCCAGCCACCTGTTCAATGGGTACTGGGGTCCCTTCCCAGAGGTAAAGCGTGTGACACTGACCACTCATCCTATCTAATGGCGAGGTTAAGAATGAGCAGGAGATCTCCTCTCCCCCAAGCACCTACATGGTATGTAGTGGGACAGTGTTATATTTTTAATGTCAATTAAGTCATATGCATATACATCCAAACAAAAAAGTTAATTATGAATAACTGCATGAGAGAGTGTCTTTTCTTGAGAAGAAACCAATCAAGCTGTCACTGAATGCAAATGTTTATGACTAATTTTACAAAGCTTGCCACAGGCACCTAATCTGAACCAGTTCAGTCCAGGTAAATCTTGTTACTGAATGACTGACCCCCAAAATACTATGTTACTGTTCCTTACAGCCACCCCAAGTATCGAGCAGTTTTAACAAAGAAGTTCCCCAGCTTAGTTTGTGCAAATGCTGAAGATGATTCTGGCTCTGTGGCCTCTGGAGCCACCACTGTCAGCGAAGAGAAGACCTCTACTGCATAACCTGTATAGTGCAATCTGGTCCATCAGCTGATAAACCTTCAGACATCTGGAACACTGTTTTTAGGGTTACAGCACCTGCCAACTCTCAGCACTGAAGCAGCACTGTCAAGTCTCAATGGACTAAAATTATTTTTGTTCTGTGATAAAATAATAATTATTATAATTATGACATCCTACAAGTGTTCATTTATTTGTGGCTTATTTAACAATGCAGTTAGTAGCTCAGAATTTATAGCATTAAATGACAAGCTGATTAGTGAATAATGAATTGGGAAGGATATGGTAGGAAGTGGTCACAGTCTAATTTAAGGTACTATCTTGGAATTTGCATGGAGGGACAATCACAAAAACCTTAGGATAGCCTGCCTCCAGGCCAATATTTGGAAATGGAATGTTCCAAATGTGATGCAGGACTGCTGATCACCAACATTCAATGACATCATACATGATAAAGCCCACTGTAACTACGTATGCTAGAAGCAAGCATATAATAATCAGGTTGTCATGGTAGTCAGTCAAGACTCACATTTATATGACACTGTGATAGGCTGGGCTACCAACATTTTGGATGAATTAATGGTCTCCACCTTCAGTGTAAAATGAATATTGGAAGTTAAGTAGTATATCACAGAATAAAGACTGCCAGTTTCTCTAAAACACCGACGATCCAACTCACCATAATATAGTGAAATCATCAAAAAATGAGGAGACATGTTTTGCAAGTACAAGAAACATGACATTTCCATGTTTTGCAAATGTAGCTCTACAATGATGGGGTGAACAGCAGATGTGCAAGTTAAGCTGTCATTGTGTTCACTATCTTTACAGAAATATAAAGAAATAAATTCACTTCACAAAATTCATCAATATAATTGAATGGCAAAATGTGTACAGCACCTTAACAACAGAAATTGTGTACAAATTACTTAAAACCCAACCTGTGTTAATATCTTTAATTCATTAAAGGCATTCACTAGTACAGAAAGAAGTATCATTCAGCTATGCTACTACAGGTTGTGATCAACAGGTGGCCAGCTTGTATAAATTCATGTTTTGGAATACTCCTTATTAGGCATGACTATTGAAAGTCATCTACAAATTCTAACACAAAGTGGCATTTCCAATACCAATACAGCAAGTGACTGAGTCACAATCCTAAATAAATGTATAATACATATTAACCTTTACATCATTCTGTAAAGTAATTGGGTGTGGACTGTCCAAACTGTTTCCAACTTAAAGAGCCCATTTAGCCTTTTATTCAATGGGTATCATGGGCTCATTCCCAGGGCATGTAGCATGCAGCACTTATCATTGCAGTTGCCTTTAAGACAAAGGGGCAGCTTTATCTTTACCTTTACACCTCAAATTATATTATTTTAAATCTGCATTTAATGATCTCAATGAAATACATACAGTCATTAATGTTCAAATTTTTAAAACCAGTATCAGAAATGTATTGAAATTTAAATCTGAAAGTTATCTGTTGAAGCCAAATACCAATTTCTGTACACAAATTGTTGTTGTTGTCCGATGTTTTTCACATTTCAGTGTAAGCAAAGAACACCTTATGTACCCATCTGTGTCTGTCATGTTTTTCCTGGGATGTAGGAAACCCATTCTGTTTCCCCATGGGGACAAAGCAAACCCAGGGAACTGCAAAATTCAGAGGCCTTCACCACAGGTTTGTCACAGCAAAACTCTTTCTCCTCAGGCCTCTACTCCCTATGGACTGCCACATATCAGTACTTTAACCACAGGACTTGTTCCCTGTGCCTTTGCCCTTC